CAAATGTTTTCCTTATTATTTGAAAATTTATATTTTTTGCATTTGATTATAGCATTGTCTGTGAAATGTTTATTTGCAAATTGACATCCCATAAATTGTGATAATTCCGTATTCTTGAATTTCTATAAGAATTTTTCTATACATATTAGATTGGAAATTATGCTAACATGTCTTTACGAACTGCTACCTTTCTAAATTTGAGCCCAAAATATTTGACTGGTTATTTTTGAGATGTTATTGAAAGTGACTGTTATTAATGGTTTCGGTGAAATTCATATTAATAATTTCAGTGATATGCTGAGTACATGATATTGCTGCTTTCGAATGTTTAAAGAGATTTAAAAATACTTTAAGTATGCAAGTGGACTCATCTGGTTCGCCGGTGAGGTATAAGTGAACCTATCCGGCATGCCAATAGGGATTAAGTGGACTCATCCGGTACGTCGGTGAGGTATAAGTGGACCTACAGGGATTAAGTAGACCTATCTGGGACGCCGATAGGGATTAAGTGGACCCATCAAAACGCTGATGGGGTATATAGGTGACCTACTTGGAACGCCAATAGGGTATTTTGTGAAATCTTTTGATTTATGCACTGTCGTTAAAATGTTATACGCATTTCAATTATTCGAATTATACTTAATTATGCATTTCTGTTAATAGATCTCCTTTTTGAAAATATTGATATCTTTTAACCACGATTATTTTTAGGATTATGATGATCACTTACTGAGTAACCAAACTCATCAAATTATGGTAAACATTTTTTCAAGATAACTGTGGTTTCATTTTGAGTGCTCGTCAGAATCAACTCTGGAATATATTGTAGTTGTGCTTAAACGTTCTTTTGTTACTTTGTAAGAATTCGCCACTGTAAATTTGTCCTATCAAGAGATGTATATATGTTTTGACTGTCACATCTCAGGAATATCAGTATTGTAAATTCTTGGGGCATGACAAATACAAACATTAGTTTGAAGCCAAAAAGACACAAATATGTAAATATTGACTAAATAAAGGTAAAAATTATTTGTAGTAGTGTTGTTGACCCACTAAAATGCGTATCACCGTCTACGACCTTAGACAATTAACAATACAAGAAGGCAAGTGCTGCTGCACCCCATACATATTTCTCTGCCTCATCGAGATCTCGAAACAGTTGTAGGTAACTTGTAAGCGTGAACCCTTGAGATGCATCGACAAATATCGTTGTGTCGACTAAATATAAGAATAAGTTGTCGCCGTTAGGGCAATCTCCCAAATGCTCCATGATGAAAGCCTTGTCATCTGTAGGTTTGATGCTGGTTACAGCTCTCCTGTCACAAGTATCCTTAATATATGACACACGTTGTACAAAGTTGGAGTCATCTCACCAACAGTCAAATGTGCGGTATTTATCGCCTTGCACCGTTTCCCTATAAAGGCTCTCAATAAACTACAATCGATATTTAAGACCCCAATGTTCATCAAAGAGCTCAATTTTGTCTTTTCGACCAAAGCTACCTGTCGTGGATCTAGCTCCCATTTTCCTAGGGTCTTAGTTGATTCATTAATACAGAAATTTTTCTTCTTCTGAAATGAAGTACAACAATAAATGGCATACATTAGTTATAAACAATATAAGAATTATCTAATTAATGTAAATCATGAAGTAAAGTAAATAGACTATGACATACATTAGTTATAAACAATACAAGAATTATCTAATTAATGTAAATCATGAAGTAAAGTAAATAGACTATCGTACATTTCCCCTTTGATCAAA